ACAAGATCAAGCTTATATGTATACATTCTATGCTCCAGATGAAATTGTGTTTGATTGAGAATATTTTTAATGACTTACATATAAATGTGGCAAAAATGTAAAAAGGGACCACTGTCAAATTTCTAATATAAATAAAAACAATAAAAAACTACTTGAGAGGTATAGCCACACCTCACTGACTAAAGTCATTTTGATATTCCATGTTCATGAATTGCAAGAATTAATATCATTAAAATGTCCATACTACCCAAAGCAATACACAGATTCAATACAATCTCTATCAAAATTCCAGTGGCATTTTTTCACAGAAATAGAACAAACAACGCTAAAATTTGTATGGAACCACAAAAAAAATAGCCAAAGCTATTTTGAGAAAGAAGAACAAAGCTGGAGAAATCATGCTAACTGACGTCAAACTGTATTATAAAGTTATAATAATGAAAACAGTGTGGTATTGGCATAAAAACAGACACAGAACAGAATAGAGAGCCCAGAAATAACCCATGCATATATGGTAAGTTAATTTATGACCGAGGAGTCAAGAATATACAAGGAAAGATAGTCTCTTCCATAAATGGTGTTGGGAAAATTGGGACAGCCACATGCAAAAGAATGAAACTAGACCACTATCTTACATCATACATAAAAATTAACTCAAAATGCATTAAAGACTTGAATGTAGCACCTGGAAACATAAAACTCCTAGAAAAAAACACAAGCAGTAAGACCTTGACACAGGTCTTAGCAATGACTTTTTCAATCTGACACCAAAGCGAAAGTAACAAAAGCAAAAATAAACAAGTGGGACTCATCAAATTAAAAAGCTTCTACAAAGGACACCATTAACAGAATAAAAAGGCAACCTACTAAATGGCAGAAAATATTTGCAAGACATACATCTAATAAGAGGCTAATATCCAAAATATATAAAGAACTCATACAACTCAATAGCAATAAGCAAACAAACAAACAAACAAAAAACCAATTTAAAGAATGGGCAGAAGATCTGAGTAGATATTTTTCCAAAGAAGACATATAGATGGCCAATAGACACATGAAAAGATGCGCAACATCACTAATCATCAGGGAAATGCAAATCAAAAGTACAATGAGATATCGCCTCATACCTGTCAGAATGTCTATTATCAAAAAACAAACAGACAAACAAACAAGAAAACAAACAAAAACACCAAAACCAGAAGAGATAACAAGTGCTGGCATGGATGTAGAGAAAAGGGAAACTTTGTCCGTTGTTGGTGGGAATGCAAATTGGTTCAGCCACTGTGGAAAACAGTAGGAAGTTTCCTCAAAAAATTAAAAACAGAACTACTGTGTAATTCAGCAATTCTTTCTGGGTATTTATCTGAAGAAAATGAAAACACTAACTGGAAAAGATACATGCACCCCGATGATCATTGCAGCATTATTTATAATAGCCAAGAAATGGAAGAAACTTAAGTGTTCATCAGTGAATGAATAGATTAAAAAAAACTATAGTATATATAAACAGTGAAATATTATTCAGCCACAAGAAAGAATGAAATTTTGCTCTCTGTGACAGCATAGATGGACCTCAAAGGTATTATGCTAAATCAAATAAGTTAGTCAGAGAAAGACAAATATCATGTGATCTCTCTTATATGTGGAATCTAAAAATAAATAAAGTAAAAAGACCAAGCTCATCGATACAGAGACTAGATTGGTGGTTGTTAGAGGTGAAGGCTGGGGGTTTGGGAGAAATGAGTGAACTGTTTTGGTTTTCTTTAGTTTAAATAAATTGAATTAAAACACACACACACACACGGGCGCCTGGGTGGCTCAGTTGGTTAAGCGACTGCCTTTGGCTCAGGTCATGATCCTGGAGTCCCGGGATCGAGTCCTGCATCGGGCTCCCTGCTCAGCAGGGAGTCTGCTTCTCCCTCTGACCCTCTTCCCTCTCGTGCTTTCTATCTCTCATTCTCTCTCTCAAATAAATGAATAAAATTAAAAAAAAATAAAACACACACACACACACACACACAAGTGAATACACAGGTCTGCCACTGTGCCAGCAAGGCAACCCCCACCACACACAGAATGTGTTTTGATCGCTTCTAGAACTCTCGAAACTCATCCTCACTACCCATACAACTAATCAACTCTGAGACAAATGATCCAATGGAAAGTAAAATGAAGCTGAAGGGAAGGAAGCTGAAGAAAAAATCCATTGGGATCCTGGATCTCTTCTGCTCTTATCCTCACATTTTCATTGATCAACTCCTACTAAAAGAATTACAGCAATTTAATGTCAAGGTTGAGGCAACTTTTGGGGGGTACCCTGATTCAACATGGGTAAGTGGGATTGGGGTACAGATGATGGCTTCTCGTCTTTCTAAATTTTCTATCTTCTACAAACACTATAGTGGGTTGAATGATAACCCCCTCTCCCCCTCAAAAAAAGATACGTTCATGTCTCAGAACGGGTGAACGTGATCTCATTTGGGAAAAGGGTTTTGCAGATGTAATTAAGGATCATCTGATGAGATCATCCTGGATTATCCAGGTGGCACTAAATCCGGGGATGAGTGTCCTTCTAAAATACGGAAGGGAGAAAGGTCAGAGGGGAGGAGAAGGCCGTGTGAAGACAAAGACAGAAATTGGAGTGATGTAGCCATAAGCCAAAGAATGCCTGGACCCACCAGAAGTTGGAAGAGGCAAGGAAATGATATTCCTCCAGGGCCTTTGGAGGGAGCATGGCCTGGTTAACACCTTGATTTCAGAATATTGGCCTCCAGAACTGTGAGAGAATACATTTCTGTTGTTGTAAGTCACCTCGTTTGTGATAATTTGTTGCAGGAGCCACAGGAAACTAACATGCCTACCTTTACAAAAGTCCAAAACGCCTTTGCGCTGTTTTTCTATGAATGTCTAAGTGCCTGCATGGATGAGGTTCACGATGAAGGGCACCAAGTCTTGTTGCATGATTACCTTTTCTCCCCCACTATTTATTACCACCCCAGAGCAGGCAATGCTGCTGGGATTGTCCCTGGCTTGGAAAGCCAGAGCGGGGAATGAGTTACATGTAGCAGGTGAGCTGTAGTGGCTTTTAACCTGCTCCTGGAAGCAAGGTCAAGGCACTGTTCTGAATGACATCCACGGCATGGACTCAGCAATATTATTAATAAAGCATATATTGAATTTATATACACAGTGGGCTTGCCTGTTTCTTGTACAAGTAAGGAGGCCAGTTAGCAGAAGTAGAAAAACAGGACAAGCCCTGAACTCTTCAAATCTATGAGAGAAACGAGCCACCAGCTTCTGATGAGGTTAATTTCAGTTTCTAAGACTTCCTATTGGATTTTTATCTCTGCCCAAACATATACATATTTGGTTTATTCCTAGTGGCTGGATACAGAAATGATTCCAACCTCCATCTCTCGGCACTCGGCAAGGATAGACATAAAGGCCTGGGACATATTTGACCCTGGGCTTTGATAAAAAGAAAGATTAAAATGGGTTAAGCAATTGCTTGCACTTAGCCTTCAGACCACTAGGTGTCAGTGTGGCTACTCCATGAGGCTGCCATAACTTTCAAGAGTGAATTTCCCCTGGAAACCAAAGAAGGGCCCTCTGGTTTGGGGCAGGAGCTGGGAAGCATATGAAGCCCCTGGTAGTTAAATGGATGGAAATGACAAGCAGGCAGCATGAATATGAACCTTGAAATAATTCCCCAAGAGAAATGGAATCCTTCCCAGGCTTTTCTTTTTAAAACAGGAGGCTGACTTCTCCCAGGGGGTCTCTTGAATTCACTGTGACTCCTTTGATATTCGTGATCACTTTTTTTTTTTTGATCACTTTTAATGGAGGATTTTTAAAGATGTGGTTTTATTGGAAAGAACAAAGTCTTCATCTTGCCCCTCACCTATCATTTATCATTATTTTCTTGGGTATTACAATATTCGAAGTTTGTGCCTTGCCTTGTGTATGCACGTCTGTTTTTTCTACATATAAATCTTTTCTGACAGTTTTGCAACATAGACAGAGAGTCCACAGACATGACTTTGCCTTGTGTTCATAAACCCATCTATTTCTCTACATGGAATGGTCTCTACCTAATGCCAAAATATTTCAAGTGGCAAATATTAACGATCTATGATTCCGTATTAGTACACAATAAGTTCATATAACTCACACCAGCTCTCTGAGGTAAGTACTACTATTACCCTTATTTTTTTAGAGAAGGAAACTGAGGCACAGAGTGGCTCATGGCTCGCCCAAAGTCCCACAGCTGCTAGGAGGCTGAGTAAGAGGCCCATGCTCTTCTCTGAATTACCTCATTATAACTTTAATTAAAAGGTGGGGGGGGAGGGGAGGCCTAATGAATTCTTCAGAAGAGGCAGAAATTCATACGCGAGGGCCAAAGGCTCCAACCGAATTTTGTTTCTAGTTACTGTGATTGTGAAAGATTTCCTCAGATCATTTGTAGCCCTTTGTCATCGTTTGCCCCCCTTTCGCCAGGATTCCTTCTGAGAGGTCAGGGTTGATGGCAGCGTGGCTTCCTGTCCCTGACCTGTGTAGAAATTTCACATGGATCCCCATGCCCAGACAGATCTTCAGGTTTTGGGGGGGAATTGAAATTTGCTTCTCCTCATCAAAAGGATGAGCACACACTTGTCAGGGGCCAGGATGAAGGAGATCATCTGCGCCCAGTTCAGGACCACGTTTCTGGTTCTGTTGCAAGAACTCACTTAACACCAGTGACACCAGAGGTTGGAACAGGAACATGTGACAGGCCCTATCCTGTTACAAAACAGCGAGTGACAGAAGCACTGTTATCTGCTTATCACCCTTCTGGCTGCAGTGAGGCTGCATCTGAGTGTCCGATATCCACTTCTTCTGCCATTTTCCAGCAGAACTCTCTTGTAGTTATTTCAGCTAGCATAATCTATGCTGCCAGCATTTGGAGGTGGCACCTTTTCCTGCTGTAAAAAGTTACACATTTATTTGAAAGAAGCCATTACCTGACTCCTGCAGAATGAGGTGGGAGGGTGGCCTCATTTAGTGAGTCTTCCCGGGGCCAGGGGGCTGCCCCCCCCCCATTTTTGGCTGTTGTGTCTGCTCAGCCTGTAGAGTCCAAGAGCTGTGGCACTTTCAGACGCCTGGCAGGGGGGTCCAGGGGAATGGTTGAATGAGCCACACCTCCCTCCCCCCACTGGGCTGACCGAGACAAGTTAAGTTCTGTTAAGTCCTCAGGATATTGAGTAAGAAGGGGGAGAATAAGGGGAACTAAAAAGTGTCTGTTCAGCCTGGACACTTCTGCTGACATTCCCACCAAGCATATGACATTTATAAGGGCAAAACGCAAATGAGGTTCTCCTGCCTGTCACTCTGCCCCTGGCATACAAGGGGAGGACCTAGAAGGCTTTGGTTCTATAATCTGCCTGCACACCTGGGGCTGCCCACCTGCTGTTGATTTGGGAGCTCCACTCCAAGACGTGGGCTATTTGGGACTTAATTGCATCTGCCTCTGGGAGATGAAATGGGTGCTGGACCATATGAGCTGATGGGGGTGCAGGTGGCAGAAAGCCCAGTGGTTTCACGCTTTTTTGCCATTGGTGAAACTTTTCTTCAAACTCTGGAAAAACTGGAGTATTCAAATTATAATCTATGGTGAGAGACTACCATTGGGATTAAGTGTGATTTTTAACAAATTGTCGTTAAATTAAACTTCCTTACCTTCCTTTAATCAATCAATCAATCCATCCATCCATCCATCCATCAGTCATAAACAGTAAGCAGTACTGTGTGGGCCAAGCACTGTGCTGAAACTAGAATAGTGAACAAGACAAGGTTCTCCTTAGTGTTTATAATCTTGTAGCAGTCGTGTTAGACACGGCCACTTTCCTCCCCAGAGAGTCTTTCTTCCCTTCCTCCACAGTAAGAATGTGTAAACCATGGTCCATGTGCCACATCTGGCCTATGGCTTGTCTCGAACAGCCTTTAAGCTAAGAATGGTTTTTACGTTTTTGAAGAGTTGCTAAAAAAAACCCACAAACAGAAACAAGAAACAAGAACAACAACACATGACAAAGACCGTATGTAGCGTAAAATATTTACTGTCTGGTCCTTTGCAGAAAAAGTTTGCCAATGCCTGTTTTATAATAAGAGAAATCTTGTGTTTTAGCCAGGCATGCGACTACACAGAAGAGAACATTTTCTAGCCCCTCTGGCCACTAGATGTGGTCATATGGTGAAGATTTGGCCAATGGGATCAAAGTAGAAGAGATTTATGTAGCTCCTGGGAAGTGCCCTGGACCTGGGTCCTAGCCTGCTTTCCCCTCCGCGCTGGCTGCGATGCTGGGTGGGCCTGAGCCACTGGGGTTCACTGATGACTAGGGCAACGCTTAGGGATGGCAGAGCCGGAAGACAGAAAGAGCCTGGGTCCTGGCACCAGGGAGCAATTCTACTGTCCTTGGATTTTGCTGGATGGTTATGAGGGAGGGAAAGGAAGAAAGAGAAGAAATACTAACTTTTTAAAGCCAGTCTTCTCTTTGTTTTTTCTCTCTCCCACCAACCTCCCTCTGATGCCAAAGGAAACAAAATCTCCCCAAACTCAGAACATGCCTTCATGAAATGCATCTCCTCTCTTCTTATTTACCTGGTTAACTCCTGCTCCAGCCCCAAAGCACAGTGTAGATGTCGTCTCCTTCTGAACTCAGTCTTCGAGATGGGGCAAGATGTCTTTGCTCTGGCTTCCGAGGTACCTTTTAGTTGCTGGAGACAAGTCTGTTTCTCCCACTAGAGCTTGAACTCTTTAAGGGTGGGGACTATGGGTTATCTATCTTGGATCCATAGTTCCTAATACAGTGCCTGGCACACAGAAGGCACTTTATAAACATTGTTGAGTGAATTAATTTATTACAGGCCAAAGGCAGCTTCCTGGTTTGTGGGATAGTTACTTTTTTTACACATTTTTTTTTTTCCCCCAGAAAAGGTAAATCCAGCAATTTACACCTCTGGGGGATAGAAATAAATTTTGCTATGCAAAATGGGGGACAAGAAATGTACACATTTACAAAGATTATATTTAAAAATTTGAGTGTTTAAATTGAGTGGTAGCTATGCTTCTTGATAGTACCTGAAAAGTTTGCAAATTTAACAAAAATAAGTAAAAAGCTATGAGATGAGTTTGGTAACATAAGGAAATATTTCTGAAATAAATGAAAATGTAGATACCGAAATCTATCTTACATTGAGCTGATCTTATTATTATATAATAACACTCAATTTTTCTATTTTTATGATTCTTCACAAAGGAAGAGATATACAATAATTTATTATGTGATAACATGATAATGATGATAAAAATCCCATTTGGTTCTCCCCGCCCCATCTATGTTATGTGGCTTATAATCAATAAATGCAAAAGTAAAAGCACTGTTTCTGGCATAAGCCTATTTTACTGTATGCTCTGGAATACGTGTAATCATTCTTGTGAAGCAACAGATTAATGTAGGACTTGAAAGTCACTGTATAGCAGTAGTATTTTTTCCCCCTTCATTTAGAGGAAAGAATACCAAATATGAGAGGCATATTTTTCTTCACATATAATCCCTCTTGAGGTGGTGTTAACAGAAGGTGGAGTTGGAAAGAATGACTTGCATTGTATTTTTTAAGGAAATCAATAATGTAATATTGGATTATTATTCGGGCATCTACTTTTCATTATTTTCATTATTTTTGTAGCTCCTCACTAAATCTTTTCATAAATTACAAGGAAACCTGAGTAATTACATAAAATAAAGTCATTCAAAGGTTTCTTAGCTCAAATGCTAGCTCTTACATTACACCTGCTGCAGAATTATAGCTAACCTCAATGCTTCTGGATATTTTATGAAACGTTGAGGACTCTCCCTTCCCCCAGCAAGAACAATTCTAAGAAAATGATGAAGGTCTCGATGAATAGCTCATTCTTTGTGGCCTTGAATACCGGGCTTTTTCTTCCCCATTATGTGCAGCTCTATTGTGCAATGCAAGGGTATAAAATACCATAGGATGAAAAGTAGTGAGCTGGGGGGTTATGCCGTGAGGATGGAGGAAGTCAGCTTACTCAGCTCATTGCTACCTGCATCCGTATTTATTTAGAATATCAGAATTTCTGTCTTTACAGTCCAGGCAAATTCTTCTATTATCCCTATCTCACCCCATCCTCACCTCTGTCCCAGGTTGAGAAAACTTACCCTATTTCTCTCTGGCTGGTATCATTACTACCTGCAGCATGGGCCTGTTTATACTTACGGCTGTCAATATGCTCGCTTTTCTGTTCTCGAAATAAAATGTTGCACTATTGTTCTTGTACTTTAGCAATTATAATATTTATCTCCTCTTAGTTTAAAAAAAAATGACAGTTAATATTCTACTTCCGCAGGTAGAGACATGAAGCCAAAGGCCCGTCGAGCCACCCTTCAAGGACAGGTGATCTGGTTCTGGTGGCTACGCCAGGGGCTCTGTGCCATTCAAAGTCCCCAGGGACTTGTTCAGAAAACAAATCATGAATGTGTTTGTGAGGGAAAATGATTTGGCCTCAAGTTGGGTTTTAGCACCAACCTGCTGACTTCCCTTTCCATGAGGATCTGGAGGTAGTGTGAAGACAGATTAGGCAGCCTTCCCCCTTCTGCTTGCTCAGCAAGCGAGCGCATTTGGCAGGAGAGCCCAAGCTTTGCCCCTGCTCCCGACTCCCGAGCAGCAGATAAAGCCCAAATGAATCCACACCCTCCCGAAACTCGCCATTGCCCTGCTGACAAATGTCCAGTTGTCGGGAGCTTCATCGTTAAGCCGATCACAGCCTGGTCACAGGTCATCCGAAGTGTGTGTTCCTAGCGTGAGTTCACTCTCCGCTGTCAAAACTCGCCAATGCCCAGGCACGCTGGTAAGTAGCATGAGAATGGACCAGGTAAAGAGAAGCCAAGAAACAGGTTCTGCCTGTTTTCTTTCACTTTAAACAGTTACTTCCCCTTTCCTCCCCACATAATTCCTACCCACAAATCAGAGAAACATTACAACCTCCAAGGGGCAGGACAGGCTCCAGGTTCACATGTTAAAAAAAAAAAAAAGGTGATTTTTCTCTACTTTCCTCCACCCTATCTCCTCCTGACCCCACCCTCCTTCCTCCAACCTGCTCTTGCCTTTTGCTTCTCGGGAAAGCAGAGAACTAGCGGAGGGACATGAAAGGTTTCTCCAACTCTCAGCTTCTTACATTCTACAAACCCACTCAAAGTAAGAAAAGGTACAAGGACTTGAAGAACTTCCAGGGGTTCTGCTATGGGGGGTTTTGTTAACCGGCACGTCCTTTTGAGGAGGCCAGCAATTTTTGAGAAGTGGGCAGGCAAGACCTATGCTCATTTCTCCCCTTCTCCTTCTGGAGGCTCTCGTTTCTTGAGCTGTGGTCATGCAGAAGAGCAGTCACTCAAGACTCTTGACTGTGTATAGCTAGCAGTAAAATATATTTGGATATGCACCCTTAATATGGGGATATCTTTTAGTGAACCTTATCTATCTATCTACCTATCCATTCACACACACACGTATATTACGTTGCAAATATTCTTTATCCATTATAAAATGTAAACAAAAATAGAAAAGGTGAGATTTTAAAAATATAATCTTTCTAACAATTTCCCTTCATGTCCAACAAACTGTCTTGAGCCTCCTTCTGTTGTATTCACTCCACTTTGGAGACCGCTATTGAAAAGAATGGAGAGAGAAAACCAATGCACTAGAAGGTAGGCAAAGGGCATTAGGGATGTCAACAAAACCATGGTGTTCCCTACTGGCTGGTATCACCCATTCAAGTGGGTTTAAAGTTCCTACTTTGGCATCAAGCGCCCCCAAGTCTTCTGTCTGGTCTAAAGCCTGTCTCCCCACACCAGTCTGCCCCAGCTGCATCATCTCTACTGGATCCACCTGCATGTTCAGTTCTGAGGTATTCACTGTTGCTCTCCTGCCCAGGTAACCACCTACGGGACATCTTCATCTGAATGTCCAACAGGCATTGCAGACACTCATTCACACGAGACTGAACGGTGAGCTGAGAATCAGCTTTAGACTCGCTTCTCTGACTCCTGCGTTCACATCTGCTAAGACGTGTCCTGTT